ACATGTAACGATTTTTTCGTGGACGAATGAAATTTTGTTTTCACTTTCCCCAGATAATCAATAAAAATTATCTTTTATATTATCTCACCGATAACCGTTATTACAATTATCTTAATTTTTATGATTGAAATTAAAGGTATTAACTTAAAAATTGATCCAGTTTAAAAAATTCACATGCCAAAATTGGCGTATTGCAGCTTGCTTTCCTCACATTCTCCGAAATTTATCCTATTGAAGGTGGAGTGTATTTACGCCATAATTCACCCACATAAAAACTGTACAACTTCAAATCTAATTGAGTTCAAGCTCATTGATCTTCCCAGTAGACTCCACGATGCTCCAATCTTCTCTCTGAAATTTTTTTGACTTTCAACTAGTTCCAGGATACCAAAGATTGTATTTGAAAAATTGAACTACTGAGATGAATTCGCTCAAACTTCCCTCAGAGAATAATTTTCTTGCGATATTTTGATGAATGAACTCAATGGATCTTAATACGTAATATAAATCCGGACTCTTACACGGTTTACGGATTTTCTAACGCGTTGTCTCTAACAACTCAGCAATAATTTAATTAATTCTCAATGCTTACTCAACAAAAGTTTGTACAGAATTATGTATTTTTCGACAAGTGTGCATGAAGCGCGAGGTGTTTTATTATTTCGCCTTCAACGACTTTATTGCGACTTCCCGACCTATACTTCCTATTTTCCAACGCCCGACCATCCAAAATCCATGTTCCTCAACAACCATTACAAGCCTCGACGGACCGTCCAGTGCGTCCTGGAATTCGAAGTGCGAAGGTCACGCATGGAAATTCAAATACGCCAAAAAGTGTAATAATCAACGTTTTGTTTACGTCGTTCGTGACCACCGGTACTTGGTTCAAAGTATGTACAAGGTTGATAGTTAAGAATATTGTTTTCCCAGTGAGATTAGCGGGAAAATCCTTCAGAACACGAGTAGGATATCGATTGGACATTTTTCATGCGTTTAGCTGTTGGTAATCCCCACAAAGTCAAACTTGTTTCATCAGGCTCCCCCAGGCTCCTGAGGTTCGTTGGTGAGAGCTGGGAGAGGGGTCTCATGCACTCAAAGAATCTACCTGCTCTAATTCGATTCTCCGTTCTCCTTGAGCTCTGGTTTGTCTAGTACCGGCAGAGGACGACAGCGAGATCGAGCAGCAATTTTCAACTTTTCATAAATGTGAATTATGAACATCAATTTTTCACTCGAAATAGGCAACAATATTAGACAAAAAATTTTTTTATGCCATCATGATAAGAAATCACCCTTGATAATTATTTAGTGTTTAAGCGATTTTTGCCGGAATTCAATGAATAAAATACAATCTTTGTCGACAACTCTGACTAAGCAATAACTTTATCCAAAGATGTGAAGCAAATAATTCGTAGATAAATAGTAATTGTTGATAGGGGCTGCTTGATTGTCATTAACAAAATTGAATTAATCATTTTTTATTTTATTTAGTTACCGGAGTATCTGAAATATACTTCTGCATGTTTCCAAAACTTTCAGTTTTTGATATATTGGAATGAAATGTAATATTCGAACGGATTTTGGAGGGATGAACAATATTCGGGCAATTTCAAAAGGAAATTTTTTTTTTTGTTATGAATAAAAAAAATCATTTTTCATTTGGACGTTGCAAAATTACCAAAATTCAAAGTGTAATGTGAAAATCTGTTGGATATCCTGTCAGCTGACAGGCACTCACACATACACACCAGGCTCACGCATTCTCTCCCCACTCACGCACACCTGACGCGCTCACCTCAGATGACCGGGGGTTATTAATTCGGACACCTGAGGCGCCACGTCCTGGACAGCTCTCCATTACCTTTTGATATATATCAAAATAGGTCATGTGACCATTGGAATTAGGGCACATGGCACCTGTAAGCCCGTGTCTCTCTCTCATTCGTTTCCGGGAACTCGTGATAAGCTCTGCTCTATTTACTACCGCTTTGTTATTGTTCCTCGGGTCAACTCATTCTGTGGCAGCGCATTATTATCTTTACTAAGAATTCGGTCCGCTCATTATTTAGTTTACTGAGTGACTCATTAATTGTGAATAATACAGTGTAATTATCGACGTTTATATTGACAAAAATACAGTGATAGTGATCACGTGCACGTGTTCAAGTCATTTTTCGGATTCGCTCCTCCACGCTTCCGTAATCCAGCCACATCCCGTCCACCAATTAATTATTCCCACTGATCCAGGCATCTCATTGAACAAAATCTGCCATAAAATTTGCAAAAATTCCTCAGTCGACAGTAGCAACTTTTCATTTTTCAAATTTAGAGTTCCAATATTTGAGAGGAAAATAATAATTGCCGACTACCATTTCAGAAATATATGCTCCAAGGTTTTTCTACTCAAATTTCACATTTTTAATTTTATATTTAAAATTTAGAACTTAAGTTTAGCGCCCATTCTGGCGAGTCGGCCTTTCTTATTTGACTCGCACGCCACTCTGTGTGGCTGACGGGAATGTCGTCACCACTGAGACGTATTCGCACACAATGGTTGGCTAATTGCGTACCTATTTGGACAAGAGGATTATTCCGACTCCTGTAATAGGCTAGCTCCCGCTAACCTGAAGGTTGCCCGGTCCTCATTTATCCGACTTTTTCCATACCAGGTGAATAGGGGAAGGGTAGGGGATCTTCGACGATTGAGTTAGTCCCACTTACATCATCTTATTGAACTTCGCGACGGCGATTTTCAGTTTGTCAGAGGCGAGGCGTCATCCGTTGCTCGATACTGGAGGTCCAACTATGGTCAGACTGAGAAATTCCTTCCGGTTTCTTTAAATTAGAAAATTCCGTGAGGAGCTGTAACGAGATTTCCTCGTCACTAGGGAATATCACTAGTAAAATAACTGGGTGAAATGAACGACATCTAACGCCGGCTGAAATAACCGAGCGAAAGATGAATAGACCATCGGATGACGGCCAATCAGGCCGCTCCGATGGTAAATTAGACCAATCACATAGTGGGAAGAAACGTGGTAGGGTGATACCATGTTTCAGAATACTGTGATGGCGCTGACGATAGCTGTTTCCTCATTCGGAAATCCACCGCGCTGTGTTAGGGAGTTCAGGGCCGACGTAGAGGCGTTCCAACTGGGTGGTTCCGAAGGGCGCCGTCGACTTAGACCGGGGACCAACGGCTAGGTGAAAGGACTAGCGCCCCCGGGATCCCGTCGAGTTGATTGGTGGCTGTGGGTAACGGATGACCCACAGTCGCTGAGATGCTCAGACTAGGGGGAGAAGGCCCTGGTAGATTTCAAGACAGTTCGCGTTGAGTGCAGGTCTCGAGCGGATGTTTTAGGAGCTCGGGATCAGTTGGTGGCAATAATCCCTGCCGGGATTATGAAGGGTACGTGGTTCCAAGGAATCTTGGAATAGCGAGAGAAGGGGACACTTATGTGTCCCCGATCAGTGCAATGGATTACTTTGAGGCAACGGACGAGAGTCCGAGGCTACAGAGATCCATCTCTAGGGCGAAATCCATGGTGTTGAGATGGACTAAGGGCTGGGAATCAAGGCGTTTCCCGTCGGTCCGGTCACACGCGCCTCCATGGGAAGTAACTCTAGTTTTGACTCGCGATGAGATTGCTATTACGGAGCTCTCGAGTTGGGGTGGACGTTAGGTGGGTGAGAAAGGTCTCCGGATACCTACGTCGCATGTGCCTCGAGCAGTTCGGCGCCCTGCGGGGTGAGAAAGATTCGCAGGTAATCGGTGTCTTGTCTAGGGTTGAGCCACCCCAGAGGAGAGAGTACCACGTGAGAGGGATGGTCACATCCCTCCACGAGAGTCTGGGGGATACGTTCCCCGAAAGATATCGTTGACGATGCCGTAAGCACGGCAGAAGTTAGTGATTGAAGTTACTCGTACGTTGGTGAACCTCGCCCACTCTACCGTGTCATGCTGATGCTGGCTCGGCATTGTGAGACCCGCCACCGAAAGTCCGCGGAGTTGACGAAATTCCTTCGCGGCTGGTTTTCCGTCAGGTTTTCCAGAAAAACCTGGCTGGCGCCCAATCGTGAACGATAGAGGCGGCAGCCAGAATAGTTTGAGGATTATCCCGGGGTGTTGATCCGGGAAAAATACTCTTACAGAGCTGTCACCATGATGGGTCGACAGGCACGACTTTCGTTTTTGAGATGACACTCCGGGGCGACACTTTGAACAGGGTCGTTAATCCAGCGGTTAAGTTTATCAGGCGGCTGTTCTTCAGGTCAGGTAAAATGCTGCAATAATCCGAAAAATTGGCAATAATCATTGATTTCGTTCTGTCCGCCCCTATGAAGTGCAATTGAAAATCTCTCCTGAGGCTGAGGATAGCCACACCCGTCTCAACGTTATCGGGAAATTTATTCCACCCAGAAAAACATTATTACAGAAAGTCTTCAAAAATATTCAGTGGAGCACGACATAACCGACATTCCTTCCGTCATGTACGACGAAGAGTGCAACTTTTTCGGGCCGTCAGGAGGCGACGGTGGGAGAGAGAGGCGCGGAACGGTGGGGGGGGGGGGGCGGGGGGTCAGTGTTGCACTTAAGTTGCTGGAGGAGAAAAATATCTATGCTAATGATTATAAGTAACATATTGGATTTTCGCTCGCAACAACATTTCATGTATACAGCAGATATATGCCGAGCATATCCGTGTTATATTTATGTGCTCGCATATCTTCAGCATATATCTGAGATATTCTCTTTATGACTAAAATATATGTGCTGTTTTCCATGCAGGGTTATTCCTAGAACAAAAATCTTCCATGAAGGCCGTCGTCAAGTGTCAAGTATCTTAAGAATTTTGATTCCAGTTTCATGTGAACTTTAAAGACAGTAGAAATAAAGCTTTCATTTGAAGGACTCATTGAAAGACAGACTTTAACATATCATACAAGGGATTCTTGTCGCAGTTTTCTGTGTGTAACGTAGGATAATTGTTTTTTCTTACCAGAGCAAGTTTTTCGCATAATTGCTGGGATGACTCCGTCGAACCATTCTCCAGTCTTAAGATTATATTCACCATATAATTCGCCCAGGCTTAGTGCTTTCGGATTGATCGGATATACATGTACCGCCTCGAAGCCAAATTTTCCATGTTTTTTCATTGCTGTAATTGTATTATGTAAGGTTTTCCAGGTTACTGATTTCCCAGAATTGGATTCTCCAATAATCATTGTCGAATGTCTAGAGTTTTTTGTCTCATATAATTCAATGACTTTTGTCAATAGATTTGTAGTAGGCTGTAAAGAAAACCAGTATACATTAATAAAGAAGTATAGTTCTCAAAAGAGTGAACTTCAGTAAAAAAGAAATATTGTTGTTTTTCAAATTATGAATAAAGGAGATGTATCGATATTCTGTGGAATAACGCATTCATCCACCATATATCCATTTGAAAAATGTAGTCTGTATCCCATATATACGGATGAAAACGTACGCGATATTGATATTGCGGACGCTACAATTTACTGCAGTCAAATTTTGATACATCTGAAAAACCTGGAATGACAACACAAAAGGGTAGCTTGAGGGGACAAAACCCCACATAATAATGTTGAATATCGGTATATCTAGCCTAAATATCGATTATGCGAGTAAAACGCAATAAAAGCGAATACCCGGCAGGTACTCAAATGGCCGTAATTATAACCTGAGAGAAGTTAAGAAGTGACCACGAAGAGGACAACACCTGGAAACCACGAATCATCTAAAAGACGCTACACAATTGCGTAAGGGCATTTCTGAAGAGATCTTTTTCACGTCTTGTCTTATTCTATTGAACACGGAGGATCAGTAACTTAAACGCCCATCCAATGGTAACCACAGATTCTAGTAGCAACTTAAACATCCCTCCAATGATAACCGCAGATGGGGGTAGCCGCAGAGAATTAAAAATGTCGACAACCTAAAAATGTACTTCCTCAAGAATCAGTTCACTGATATTGACGGAAGACGAGACAAGCCAATACGGGTACAACTGTTCCGAGAACCTCCCCCCCTTGGTTACAGCACATTGGCCGGGACCATGACGTCACCTGCCCCCAATATCCGACGAAAGTTTAGATGGGTTCCAGGAATTTGCCCAATTCACGAGATGGATTCTTACTGTGCAAACAAGTGAACACCAGATTCAAATGGTCCACTCCAGTCCATAGTAAAATTTCAACTCCTGGTATTCAAAGAGGGGCCCTACTCATTATTAAAGCAGTCCCTTCGAAACCCATCTGTTGGGAAGCAGCTCTGCAGCATCGCATACTCTTATTACTACTGACGCCTAGTTCGAGTGGACAACTCGACACTCTTCATTGCGTCAGATCGACTGCCTTACTTCAACGGAAGCCAGTCAGCCAGTCCCATCAAGAATTCTTGATCTTCAACGTGGGGTCTTGCTAACTATTAAAGCTGACCCTTCGAGATCCGTCTGTTCGGAAACAGCTCTGCGAGACCAGCCTCTTTCATCATCACTGACGCCTAGCTAGGGCGTACAGCTTAACTCTTCGCGTCACATCGGATCGTCGGCGCCGATTTAGCTGGAATTGGCCAGTCGGTTAAAATTATTCATCGAGTGTTATCTACCCGGTTGTTTAGGTGACTATCTAAGAAGGAGCCAACTCTGCCGAACCAGCTCTTGTTGCCGAAATAGGCTTCACCCCGAGTGTGCAGCTGAGGGATTTTTATACGGCTAGCAATATAAAGCGAGGTAACAACCAAGTTCTTCATGAGTGGACAACTCAGGCCGGTCAACACCATCTGCATCACTGCTACAAAAGCGTGTTTGAGCGTTTTCAATTCCATCAGTGCTGGAAGAAATAGCATATTTTTGGTGTTCTTCGGAATCTACTAGGAAGAAGAAAGAACGAGAGACCGTCCCCGCCCATCTGCCATTTATTTCTACCACAATAAGTCAGAAAAACACACCCACAACATTTACACTTTTCTTCCCTACACTTCTTCCACCTCTACCGCTTGTTTTTATCTTAGATTTTGACTATACTGTATGTCAGATAACGAATAAGAAATTAAAAAATCTATTTAAAACGAACTTTAACGGTTTCTCTTTCTTTGTGTGCTAATTCCTCATTTAATAACCAATGTGTACTTCACTACTTAGTCCCACGTAATAAGCCCCACTAAATGAGATTTATAAGATCCTTTCTTCTCCGGATACTCCCTGTCATGACTAGTCATGGTCAACTCGCTTCAAAAGTTCACCTCTTATTCGATATTTCGACCTACCTAGTGACCCAGAGTCCGTAACACAATAGGATCATTCAATCGTTTTAAGCGATTGCACGCCAATATTTATTCAAATCTATTCAAAGAGAAATTTATAACAACAAAATTCTCCGATCTCCGTGCTCGGATTTTCACCGAATTCCATCCATGCATTCTCATACATACTCGCACACTCATGACCCGCCTAGCTGTTAATATCGCTCGCCTCCGATGACCAGTGGTTTCTCATCTCTGACAGCTGAGGTGCAGCTTGATGTACAGGTGCAATTGACTATTGTGATGATTGATACCTTGCGGCTTATCACTCCCTCATTGGAATTTCATCGTTGTGAGAATATTTACGTAATGCGAAAGTCCAATGAGAATTGCGCATTACGTTTTATTGACCATCTCTTTCCCATCTGAATTCTCCGTCATCTATCACAGTCGTCACTCGCTTTCATTTTGATGGTCGGCTCTTTAATCTAATTTATTTCACTTGTATAAAAGACGTAATTATTGACTCATTAAATTGACGTTTTATGCCCACCCCACGCCACTAATTTATTGGGCCTTGTGGTTGATCTTCCGGTCATCCACTCATATGTTGTCCGTATCCTAAAAATACACCGAAAACGAGATCCCGTCTCAACCATTTTCGTCCTTCCAGCCGCATCCACGAGATATTTTCCAGGTTGGGTCCACTGTAAGCCATTGATTCTCGCCTGCTCTGACGTCTGGAACTATCGTGGGTGAGAGGGTATTTGGACCGGCCGGAGAACTCGCACGAAGGCCACTATTTTTTTCAAATCGAATGTTTCAATTCTTAATTTTCATTTTGCCATTTTCAATTTGATACTGTGTTAATAAGAGAAGTCTACCCTATTCGACGTAACCGTCACTTCCAATATTTGAATTTCAGATCTGTATTTAATATGAATTTTATAGAGGACCGCGCGGACATGACTTCCGCGGTCGTAACGCCTCAGCGTAAAGATTGTAACACTTTTCCTAATCTCGTCCCTGAGATTATCCATTTCTTTAAAAATTAATTTTTTACTATGTAACTAGATTATCTCGTTACTAAGTAAAATAACTGGAAAAAGTCACAATGAGTAGGTAGATACATATGACGCCGGCTGAAAAAGGCGAGCGAAAGAAAATTAAGCCATCGGGCGACGGCCAATCAGGCCGCTCCGAAGGTGAGTGAGACGAATCATATAGTGGAAAGAAACGCAGTCGGGTGATACCACGTCTCGGAAAACTGTAATTATGCTGACGATGATTGTCGATTATTTCGGTAACCTACTCAGCTGTGTTCGGGAGTTCAGGGCCGACGTACAGGCGTACCGACTCAGTGATTCCAAATGGCACCGTTGACTTAGACCAGGGATCAACGGCTAGGACGAGCGCCCCCGTGATTCCGTCGAGCTGATTGGTGGTTCTGGGGTAACGGATAACCCACAAACACCGAGAGGTTTAGGCTAGGGGAAGAAAATCTTGGGAGATCTCAAGGCAGTCAGAGTTAAGTGCTAGTGTCAAGCAGACGTTTCACGAGCTCGACACTAGTTGGTCCCAATCATCCCCGTTGGGGTTATTCTGTGCACGCGTTTTCGATCTTAGATTGGCACTCTTATGCCTCCCCGACTAGTAGTATGAATTGCTTTGTGGCTGTGGAGCGAATATTTCTGACCACAGAGACCCGTGTCCAGGGTGAAACTCATGGTGTTGGATGTAAGAGATTAAGGGTTGGGAATCGAGTTGATTCCTGTAGGCCCGATCGCACGTCCCTCCGTGAGAAGTAGTTCTGATTTTGTCTCACAATGAGATTGGTGTTCCTAAATAGCCTCGAGTTGGGATGAATATTAGGTGGGTGAACAAGGGCCCCGGAGGCCAATATCGCATGTAAATCGAAATGTTTAGCGCACTGCGAGGTGAAAAGGATTCGCATGTAATGCGGGTCTCGTTCGGGGTCGAGCCACCATGGAGGACAGCAGAAGACGTGTGAGAGATGGCAACATCTCTCCGTGACAGACCTGGGGAGTATGTTCGCCAATAATTCTGGCGTAACGACATTGCAACAGGGGGTGAAGTCGGGAACGACAGTTACTCACACGTCGGTGAACCCCGCCCACTCTACCGTGTCATGCTGATACTGGCTCAGCATTATTAGACCCGCTACCAGAAGTCGGACGAACTTCCTTCGCGGGTGCTCTTCGTCAGGTTTTCAAGACCAATCGTGGGCGATAAAGTTGATAGCCAGAATAGTTGCTTGCTTGCTTCATTGGCTCCGTATTAATTGGTTATCTCTTTTAATCTAGCTCCTTGTTTCATCTGCTGCATTAACCCTTGCTTTCTGTTCCCTTTTCGGCCAGTTGGTATTACTTATTTACCTGAAGATAGCAACTCTCGAAGTCACTATCGTGCTGCTGTTGACTCGAGCGGTCTTCATAGAAGGCAATTCAAGGAGTCCTTGGAGGAGGGCCTCCAGCAGCTTGGCGTTACTGCACTACATCCCACACAGATAATACCGAAGAGTTACTAGGCCCACACGGAGGCTTCTCGCGAGAAAACGGTACCCACCAAATCATAAATGTAACCTCTCTCGACTATTTTGAAAATTATGTTTTCGACGTTGCTCTTAAAATTTATGCTTCTGTTAGGGTAGCTCTGCTGCAGTTCCTGGACGGCAAGAGTGCTACTAACCTAAACCAGTAACTATGTGTGTCTAGGGATTCGGCCCGACAGGCCGACCGCTAGCCTTAACTCGACTCCCGCATCACCTGGCTGGCTGAGAGTTCGTCAGCGATCTGCTCGACAACCTCCTTAAATCTCCGATTCTGGAAGAAGTTCCTGGACGTGTTGACTTGAACCTCTCAGCTACAGTGTGAGGACCATTTCAGTCAGATTCACTGTAGAGACACCTCGGGGCGGTACATTGTCCATTCCGTTCTTACAAAGCTCACATCTTACAGCACTGGGTTATCTACTATGAATGCTCGCTAGGATTTCCATAGATCGACGA